TAATGCAACAACATATGATAAACATTTCAAGAACAAGTTTATATACAACATATAGATATGTCATGAATTTAATTTGTATACAATGTAAAATATATACTACATTTTTTAGTGGTTAATTATACGTAGCACAGTCTTGACATTGAATTTTAATGTGCTTTTATAATCAATGGCGTTCTACAAGTGTAATATATCAGAGAATGTAGAGTTCAAAGTTTAATTACTTCAATTTCACTTATTGAAGTCAAACTTGGAGATTACTACTATGGGTTAAGCAAAATTCATGAATGTGATCATTTCATTGATAAAATAGAGATAGAATTTGTGTCTATTATTTTTGTTTTTTTCAGAATTTTTTATGTTTTTTGATTTTTTTAAATGTTAAAATTTATTTCTTAAATAAATAAGACAAAAACATGAAATTTTTAGATTGATAAAAAATTTTAAAATAAAGATAATCAAATTGGTGCTTATAAAAATGTAATTTGTAATTTTATATTTCAATTGATGTTTTTATGACACCTAATGATATAATAGACTATTTTAATATTTGTTGGTGAAATAAAAAATCTTAACCTTGTTATTAAATTGAAGTTTTTGTTGGGAAATATTAAATTAGATATTTAATTCAAGACTTTTACGATTTGGTTTTTAAACAGTGATTGCATTTTTTTTGAAGGTTTTCTTATTGCAAGTTTGAAAAAAAATTCAAATTTACATCCTTAGTAAAATTTTAATTTGGACAAAATGTTGATTGTAGCAAAATATTGATTAATTTTAAATTAAATTTATAATATAATTACAACATAAAAATTTATTTGTAAAAAATGAAATTTTTTAAGATCATCCACAAAAAATGATGAAAATTGTAATAATTTTTTAATTTCTGAATAATTTAGATTCTATAATTCTATCCCGGTAAATATATGCTTTACTGGTTTTTTATTGGATGTTCTTAAAACTTAAGATTTTGCAAATTTTGTTGTGATTTGTCCAAGAGCAACACTCATATTTTTGAAACGAAAATTGTTCATAAATTTATTATAACTTGATCAGTATCAATATGAAAATTTATTGATAAGGACCATCAAGTCATTAAGATTGATCTCGCATACGCTCATTCAAATATATAAAAACTTAAAATAAGCCAAGTAATAAATTTGTGTTGATGAAAAATATGATCTTTGATATTAACATTGAAGATTTTAATATTCAAATTATATATATGAAAATCGATGTGTTTTTCAATCCAAATGTTACTTTTTAACTATATTATATTTCAGCTTGCACAATATTTATGTTATAAAAGCTTGATATTTAATAATTGAAATATACAAACTCTTATTTCTATTGTTAATAATAACTTAAATCTTGTATCAACTCTATATGAGATAAGGTGGATAAATATTAGATTTAGCTTTAACCATAGTTAGGATTTAGAATTAGGTTTTATTCTAATCAATATATATATATGAGAGTGAACCACAACTTGCATTGAACATTTTTGCAGGTTTTGCAATAAAGACCTTGATTTGGTGAACACAGCGTGTATATGTTAGCTTCATCTTATGTATGTGTGTGTTTTTCTTTCTTTGTTGATTTGTTGTCTTTTTTTTACATCTACATGAACAAATATTATTTCAAGAACTCATCATTGGTGTGTATATATTTATTTACAATCATGAACTTATTTTTTGCAATTTATTTTTAATGTATTCAGAAGAAATGCAATGAAAAAATAATTTTATTGACAGATTTTCTTTAAAAATTGTCATCATTTCAAACAACTAATTGCATTGATAGCAACAATAATAGCACAATAAACAGAAAGAACGACGTTTTTTAATGTCTGCAAGAAAAAAAAAATGTTGAAATTACTTGTGACAAAAGCAACTAAATAATAAACTGTTCAGATATCAATTATACAGTATTCTTCATAAAAAAAATATTGATCACTTTGATCTGTTTGTAAAATCGCATAAATAAAATGCAAATCATGAGCTCATAGATTTTACCAGTTGAGAAAAAAGATAAAATTATTCTAGGTGTTTCTTTCTTATGTTCACTGTAAACATATGTGATCTGAATACAACAATTTATCATACCATCTTTTGCTACTTACTAAATTTTAAAGAGATGACAAAGAAACTCATTTTGCAATGCAATTTTCACAATAATGCCAATATTTGTCTTAAATTTGTGATTATTTAAATTTGTCTTTATTTGTGATTGTGATTTATTTAAATTTGCAAAGAAAAATTTATATAATATTAAGCAAACTACAATTATTTTTTATCAAAATATAAATCAACAAAATTTGTGTAGTTACGTAAAATACACTAAACATCACAGCAATATTCAAAAAGAAAATAGTACAAGCAACTCATCTCATAACTTTATACGTTACGGGATGTTAAATCTAACTTCAGTTTCAATTTTGAAGCTGATTTATTTCCAATATTTTTTTAAAAAAATAATAAAATAATAATTGTATGAGCAAATGTTTGATAAACATATGTTTTTGAATTATATTTAGAAATATACGACCTTAAATAGACACTAAGATTTTTCATTTAAAAAATAAATCTAATAATTTATATTTATATATGAACATCAATGATATGTTTCTTTGAAATATGTGCAAATATTTTTCTTTAGATGTAGAGATATTTATAGATGTTTGTGTTGTATGATCTGATATTATACATTAAAACTGTCAGTTGGCCAAATATTTACTTTCTTACATATGGCTTATAAAAATTAGCTTCACATTATATAATACATGTTACAATTATATATTACATGTTTGTCATAGAACATTAACAAATCACAAATGAAAATCTTAGACCCGTTGATTACTTGTTTTTGAAATTATTGTATGGATTAGGTTATATAATATATTATATTATTTATTATCACATACTTGGTACTTATCAATATAATTTTATTAGTTTAATATTGAAATTAAACCAACATGTACTGTGTATTTTATGCAATAAGAACACCAATGGAATGTAAATATGTTATACTTTATAGATTTTATCTTGCAGTGTGGATTTCCTTTGTTTCAAATCCTTTCACCTTTATTGGTGCAGATCAATGAAGAAGCAATGATATTCTAATGGGTAAACGAAAAAATGGCTTAGTCAAAATGAAATCTGATTAAGACTAAATTTGGATTTACAATAGTATACTAATTCTTTGGAGAAAAGGACTACTGATATTAATAGAAGCTTATCATTCTCCATAGTCACGTTTGGAATGTTTTATCGACGATGTAAACTTACTATGGCATAAACAGTTTGGTAAATATTCGGCGTCGCTCCGACGCAAAGCAGTGCAAGATCGAGTTGGAGAATCTTTAGTAGAAGCGAAAGCTTCGTATGAAAGTTATTTGATGTTGAGTATATTATAACCAAAAAAACAGGATGCAGATTCAGAAAACCCTTTGTATACAAATACGAGAGGTGGAGAATGAAAGGAGTCATTGCAAAAGCTTTTCCAATTGACGTTTAATATATATCACAAGAGAATACGAAGTACAATAGAAGAAAGTTAAGACGAAACCTGGCCAAGGGTGGTGAGTATAAAAAGACTTAGTCTTTCACGCGATGAATCTCTACCTGTCAGTTGCACCTTTAATGCGGACTATATCATGCATGCAACTGATGAGCATGGGTAGTAACCAAGGGTTCAAACCAAACAACACCAATCAAAACATACTATAATCCTCCTAGCAAATAAAAACAATATACAACAATACGAAACTACATATCGTCTGAACTATTGAACGCAAAGAAGCAATGATAAACTTTTCCCATGGAAGTAGATGGCATATGGGAAGTTAAACATACCGGTGAAGAATTTAGTTATGAAGCTTTAGGTCGTCTTGGTTCACAAGATAATTCAGAAATTGTAATGGAAATATTTCGGCCATGCCGGGGAAGTGATTGATCGGATTTTTGGAGTACCTCGAAGAGTCATCCCCCCGGGTATTTGGAACTTTGTGCTACTTAGTTTAACTTTGTAATAAATTAATTAGCGGAGGGGAAAACATGGATGAACGTTCATGTAAAGTCATTGGATAATCTACATGATAAACCGTAGACTGTAAATATCTGCATGATTTAATATTCGCCCGGACCAATCACAGCTCTAGAGGAGTGAGCTACCGCTAGGGAGGGAAGGACAATCATAAAGAGACAAAAGTAACAAACAGTCCGATTTGTTATTTCCTTTTCTGCGGCCTGCCTTTTCTTTTAGATACTTTGTTCTTCCCTATCTCTCGTACCGGTTTGGTCGGTTCGTAACATACAAAACAGTTGGGGTTACGGTAATGAATAAATTATTGAGGCCGCGAAGCTTTTAGCTCGCCAGGGGGCTCGGAAAGCAGGGCAGAAAAAACAGGAATAATCTTTTCATCGAGGCAAGAGAGCTCGCTTCACCGACTATCGTGCACCCGGGAACATCATTACCACGGCGACATGGCTCCGTCCGGCTCGTCCGCGCCGGTGAGTCGCCGAATCCGTCCGGTCAAACCGGTGCAACCGGTTACATGTCGGCGTCCATTTAACGCAAAAGGCGGAGGTAGGTGGGCGGCGATCGCGAAGGGCCGGTGGGATGTCGCCGTGGTTTCTCGTCATCATCAGAGCGAGGTGCCGGTAAAGGTAAGGCCACCACGGCGGGCGCCCGGATCGCGATCCCCAGAGCGAAAAGGAAAGGAACGACCGGCCGGACCTTCGGGCGGAGGCCGTCCTTTTAGACCGCGGTTATATGACGGAAAGGGCACGGGTTAAAGGTGGTTTCCCCTTCAGGTTGTTTTTCCCCGCTGGTCCATGAGCCTCCTGCTCGCTCGCTCGGTTCCTTCCTTCATCCTGCTTCCTTCCTTCCTTCCTTCCTTCATTCATTGCTTTTGCTCTTGCTCAGGCTCTTCTTCGCTGCAGTGGCTGCTGCTTTTTGCCCAATTGCATCGAGAGGAGGAGGGGGGTGGGGGTGGGGAGGGGGGGAGGGCAGGGGGAAGGGTGCAGTTCACGACGACGGGCGTTTTTGTCGTGCTGTCCGCGAGAGAGGCGGTGGAGAAACTGGGATTTGGATTTTGCTGCCTTTTTGGATTTGTCGTGTAACAGTGGGGAGCGACGCAGTAGGGTAGGAGTACCTTGTGCGCAATTTGATCCATCGTCGTCGTCGTCGTCGGCAGACGGGGTTCGGTTGCGGGGAGGAGGAGGAGGAGGGCCCGCTAAGGGCTAGAGATCGTTTGTCGCTGCGGTGGACGAGCTTCCTTATGCGGAGGTGGGGGGACGCGCGAGGGCGGACGTCGCAGAGAGAGAGAGAGAGAATAGAGAATTGTTTTGGTGGAGAGCCCAGCGAGACGCAGCGAGTGGGAGAGGAGGGAAGGCGCAGGAGCGAGGAGCGGCGATGAAGGGAATGATGGAGGAGGAAGAGGAGGCAGGACGATGAGGGATGGATTGTGGATGCTGTGACAAGGGGGAGGCAGAGGACGAGCGAGGAGACAGCGAGACGGTCCGACGGGTGCATGGGCATCGGGTGAGAGGAAAATTGTGCAGGCGGAGTGGTCGGGCGTCCGCGGCGAGGTGGAATTTTGGTGGATCTTGAAGGGTGTGGCAGTTTTGGCGAGGCTAAGGGGAGAGTGAAGGATATGCAACAGCGGCAGCTTCTGACGTTGGTGTACCTCTTTCATTACCACCAGGTCTGACCTTCGGCGTTGTCATGGACGCTGCGGCTTCTCCTGCATCTTCTACTAATCGCGCAGCTGAGGCCGGTTCCGCCGGGAGCAGTGCCGATTCTGCCGCCTCTACTGAATTGGTCGTCAAGGTTGGTGTCTGGAGGACCCTTAGCACTCAGAGCTGGAGATTTGATTGGAGCTTTTTGTCCGTTTGTGTTCTAGTCGAGACTCTCTGTCCATCTGTCTTGAATGGCTGTGTCCTCTTTATGTTGACGATCCATAGTCTCCTGGAAATGGGACGAGGTACATAATTGTTTAGGTCTCGTCGACCTGTTGTTCGCGTAAGTGGCAATTGGCTCACCGAAGCTCACCGAAGACAAGCTATCGTTACTAACCGTTCATCAGTCCCCCGATAGGTGCCGCATTACATCGTCGCTGCGTAGTTTTTATCTAGACGGTTAGGTTTAAGATACAATCTGCCCAAGTCAGCCATAGAGGGACCTCATTGTGAATGCTGATCAGCTTGATCAGCAGGGAGTGGTCTGTTCTCGCAATCTCTTCATCAATCGAATGACGAATATCATGAATATTTGTCTGTGCCAATCCGCGTTTTAGCAAATCGCTTCTCTGGCCTATAATTGGCACAGCAGCTTGCTCTATTCACGCATAATTTTTCAGGGACGCTTCCCCAGTTGTAATTGAGATTTAACCCGAAAAGAAAATGCGTAGGTTTTGAAATCCATCAACGTGTTGAATTGCAAACTCAAAACTACTTCTTTGATTAAGCTCACCTTTTACATCTTATAGTTACAGGAAAAAGAATCTGCTCAATTCCTGGATGCTTGTAACGTACTGATAGAGATGATGTCATTCATCTCACAACGCTCGCATGGAGACGAGCGGCACGTTTTCTAAGAGTCCTATACGGCAGAATGTTTACAGTTTTGAATTCAGTAGATGTGGTTTGAATTACTTTCTGAAGAGCATCGAGTCTTCCCACTCAGAGTTTCTGCCATGGACGTTTGTGAGGTTTTACAGTTTTTACAGAATTAGTAGGATCTTGCATGCAGTCATGGATGGTTCACTGACATTGAAATAAATTTCTCCATTTGTTTTCCTTCTCAGCGGCTCATCAAGCGAGGAATTCCTGCGAGATATGCGGAGAGAGGTCCTGAGGGATTGATAGAGTATGTGAAGGAGGATCAGTCGCGAGTTCCTGACGTGGTGGGGGCTCTCTTTCCAGATCATGAAGAGATTAAGGATCCAAATCAGCCCGGGGATGAGACACAAGCAACTGCTTGCAGAACTGCATATCTAGACATGTGTCAAGACGCAGTGTCCTGGGTGCAATGGTTGATGTTTGGACGAGACCCAAAGGACGCTCTTTCCGACACTGCGGTCGTATGCAGCGGCGCTAGAGGCATTTGTGGAGCTGTGTGGGGCAGCAATGATATAGCTTATCGTTGCAAGACTTGTGAGCATGATCCCACTTGTGCAATTTGCGTTCCCTGCTTCAAAGCTGGGGACCACAGTAACCATGATTATTCTATGATCCGCACAACTGGAGGGTGTTGTGACTGTGGAGACGTTACTGCCTGGAAACAAAATGGATTTTGTGTTAAACACAAAGGTCCCGGACATGTACCTTCTCTGCCACAGGATTTTGTAGTGTCAGCTGCACCAGTGCTAGAAGCTGTCCTGATCATCTGGGTTTCTAAACTAGAGAAAGCACATCATGCCTCCGAAGGAAAACCCAAAAAGTGGATGTCCATGCCTAAGGCGGAAAAAGTAGCTTCACAAACATCTCTTGCTATCATTAAAATGCTTTTGGAGCTATGCCGTGCTGGTGAGAGCATGCTGAGCTTCACTGCGAAGTACACCGGGATGAAAAGCATCGGCGTATTGGATGCCTTATTAAAGACCGAGTCGTTTATGTCGAAACATGTGATAGAGAGCTTACATGAGCTGCTCTACAAGCTGCTTGGCGACAGCAGTTTCAAACACGCATTTGCCTTAACATTCATTTCTCACTACCCTAGGTTCATGCGGGACTTAGTGGCTGAAGAGCTGGCCAATCCTTCCAGTCCTAACGCAATGATCTCTAGGACCAGGGATCATGCAGTTTTGAGCAACTTCTCTGTGCAGATCTTCACAGTACCGACCCTCACGCCCAAGTTGGTCCTTGAGTATAAGCTCCTCGATATGCTGATGGCGTCTATAAAAGATTTTCTGGTTGCTTGTGTTGGGGAAGATGGTCGTCTTCTGGTAAGCTTTCGTTCATTTTATCCTGTCTCTGCCGTTGACAGCAAAATGGAAAGAACGAATCAGCCTTCTGGTTTAATGGGTACATCAGGCCTTATAGGTGCCATCAAAACGATTCATCGTCGGACCATTATTATCAAAATTTTTAATGCTTTCTGGACTGAACATATTGTTTGCAACTTTTTTAGTTATTTTCTCCTCAGCCTCAAATTTGCTTGAATGTCCTTTGCTCTTTTTTTCTCGCTTGTTCTATATCTCGTCGAGACCTTTGATGGTTATACCTAGATTAGCGTTTCTTCGGTCCCTTACATGCTAAGCCCTCGCGCCTCCTCATTGCCATTTTATCTGTTTTCGCTTGCTCTCAATTGCATTGAATCAGCATCGGCCTGGACTGTATGAGAGTTTTCCTTCGGGCTTCATCCAAGTAGGTTACCGTATGCCGATTTCATATGTGCAAGATGTTTGGCTCTCATCATCTTGACTTCAAGATGCAGGTCACGATGGAGCGTTACTGTACCAGCACGCCTTTTAATCCACACATTTCAATTTTACTCATAGTCCCGCCGTTCATCCTGAGTACTTGTTCTCAATCTTGCTATAAATATACACCGTCTGCAACTAGGTGACTGGCGGTTTCATATAGACTTGCTCATCTAGCTAAGCTCGCGGCCTTGATGGATCTTTACTGTACTGGCACACCTTTAAATTTACACTTTCTAATCGCACTGAAAGTCCTCCTGCTCGTATCGAGCTTATATTCGATCTCGCTGAGTAATCGAATTGTAAGAAAGCTGCAAGTCCGTGTCTGCATTAAACTGCTAGTTCATTTGTTTCACTTATCTACAGTCGGTTGCCGAATTTTGGTAACTCATGAAGCTTGGGAGAAAGCGATAACACAGCCTCTTTTCTCTGACAAATATTTCCAATTTTGGTTTCTATTGTTGCAGGTAAGCAAGAGCCCTATTAGTGGTAGGCTTTATAGTCGCGTCACAGAAGATATTCGCTATGTGATGACTCATTTTGAGGTCGCTCAGTATGTAACACAGCATAGAAAGGATCTATGTAAGGTCTGGCTGGAAATACTGGCTTTTGTGCAAGGCATGCACCCTCAGCGTCGAGTGACTAGTATACACGTGGAAGAAGAGAATGAAGATGGGGATGCGGCCTATCAATTGGAGGTGCAGATGGCCACCATCCATCCCTTATTTGTTCTTGGAGCAGCCTCCCCGTCTGTCTCATTTCCTGCAGAAGGGAGTTCTCTTTCCGGTGTTACCAGTGTTGAGGACTGTGCTGACGACGATGACGACAATATGTTCGTTAGGCACGCAAAGGTGGGTCGAATAAGTCCGAAAGAAAGGAATGATATGGACATGGGAAGTTCCAGTGGAGCTGATGTTGAAATGGCTGATGTCGCCAACGCTAGCTGTGCTGGAGCCGACGAATCTCAATGTACAGAGAGTATATTCGGTGTTAGAAGTAGAGATGGGAGAGGAGCCCAGCAAAGCGTAACAGCTGTTCCTGCGCATCAGTTAATATGGCTGATCTCTGAGTGTGTAAGCATTATCGACAAGTGGCTAGCTGTAGATAATTCCAGGGAACTTGCGAAAGGTCCTGGGAAATCGGTAGCAGAGAGTGGACCTGCTTCAGTGCAACACAGAGGATCACTCTGGAGAGGTAGAGCAAGAGGTCTTACAAGAGGAACAGCACGGGCAGCCGCTGTAGCAGAGCCTGCCGCCCCTGCAGCCACACCTCCCGCTGTGGTCGAAGGTGAGGGTGGTCCAGGAAGAGGTTTGAGGGAGTGGCTGCGAAGATCTAGACGACCTTATGCGGCGATAGCCATACTAGATGAGGATCGAGGCAACTCAAGGGCGTCTGGAGTGTCTGCCAGCGGCACAGACTCTGCTGACATGGATGTCGATACTGCCGGAGTCTCAGAAACAGTGAGATCACGTGACACTTCTGGGACAGAATGGTGGATGTGTACAGACGATTCAAGTTCTCTTTCCAGAGTAGGCCAGTCTAACGCAGATGGTTGGCCGAAAGTGGACTTCGATGTTAGCCGCCAGGATGTGTCCTTTCACATACCTCTTCATCGGATGCTAGCGCTCTTATTGCATAAGGCCCTAGAGATGCACTCAGTTGGTATGGAGCCAGGATCTTCTAGTGAGAATCCGAAGTCCACGAATCCGAGTCCTCTAGAAAATCTTTCAACCTTGTCTCAGCTTTTACCTTCAAAGTATCAGGTACCTGGTTTTGCTGCAAGTTTAATGGAGCATCCACTGCGGCTTCAAGTGTTGTGTGCCCAAGTACAGGCCGGCATGTGGCGTAGAAATGGTCATCCCACCAATTCCATCTGCGATGTTTATCGCACAGTTCCCTGGTAGGTATAAATTGGGTTTCAGAGGTCTTTGTGATTGGTTTTCGTGACTTGGGTACTGTTTGTTTTTTTAAAAGTGTTCGCTTCCAGAAATATATCAATCACTTTTATTTCGCACATCACAACTTTGATTGCACTCTTAGACTGCCCTGCTTGTGTTGAGATAGGGATTTGCTGGATCTTATCTATACTGATTAGGCGAGAGTATCTTTAGAGAGAGGGAGTTAGATTTTGTGTCTTACGGATATTGTGTCGTCCATTGAAACTGTTTCTGGTCTGTTATACCGGGGTCATTTTTGCTGTCAAAACTCTCTTAAGATAGTTTTTTGGCAGCAGAAGTGAATGATTATTTTAAAACAGGTTACTGAGTTGTGGAATGTTTGATAATTTCATCTCAGGTGCGAAGACAGTTTGGAGCTTGACTTGCTGATGCTCCAGTGTTGTGCTGTGCTGGCACCTCCTGAAAAATTTGCTGAGCGAATACTATCACGATTTGGTCTATCTGAGTATTTCAATCTCTTTCTCTGGCGCCCAAATGAGTACGTTCTTAATAATATACACTTCTGAGTCTTCTCAGTTGAGGCTGGCATTTGCTGTTAGAACTGGGTGGTCAAAGGGACTAATTTTCTTATTTTTATGAATTCTCCTTGTCTCAGGTATGAAGCGAGCCTCGCCCAAGAGTTTTTAGTCTTGCTCATCCGAATATGCACAGAAAGAGGCTTCTGCGGATTAACTCAAAGAGAATCTTTGAGGAGGGAGCTTATACAGAGGTTGGCCGTTGCAGATGCCACCCATAGCTCACTACTCAAAGCACTTCCTCGGCGCCTACAAGATAGTCCTTATTTACATGAGTGCCTGACTGCTGTAGCGAACTATCGGAGACCTTCCGGCATGCAACAGGTTCGTGATTAACGATGTTCTATCGTTTGGTAGTATATGTTGTACCGTGTTCTTTAGCCTGTTTCTGGAGAGAAACATGCACTAAGGATCTCACCTAAACGCACGAATACTGCGTCGGTCCTTTAAACTTGTGGTGGTCTTGTCACATTGTCACTCACACAAAGTGAGAGGTTTTCTGTCCTTTCAAACCGTACTTTCTTTACCTTTTGAACTCAATTAGGAACACTGTTATAGTACCTGTTTAGACGTGAGTCGGTCTTATCACCTATTACCAACCCACTTGTGCGTCACATTGTCACTCTCACAATTTCTTTCCTTCAATCCGTATTTCGTTAACTTCCTCCTCCCTTCACTCTCTGAGTCTCTCTGCTCGTACATAGAGGTTCCAGAGAATGCGTGTCTACAACGTGAACAGATTTTGTAACGGACTTTTGTTTTCTTGGATGTTCTGTGGAACTCTCCTTCTTACAATCATATGATTTTCACCTTTCTTGAACCATCACATCATTTGTAAACATTGCTATGGTTTTACATGTAAAGTAACAAATGGTTCCCGTTTTTTCCGTGTTTCGGATCCAACTATTATAATAGTTGGATTCCAAACTAGAAATGTTAAACTGTGAATTCACGTATTTGCTGGAATAAATTTCGACTTTCCTGTTGGGTTAGTTCTAGTCTTAAACGACTGATGCTGGTTTGAAAATGATGATCCCGAGTTCTTGAATCCAAGACTTCAGCCTTTGACAGGGACATATTAATGCAACTGCTGCTTATGGAACTATTCACGCCTAAAATGATCTCTTGTTACTCGTCAATGGAAAGACTTCAGTTATCTTGTCCAATCACTTGCTGTGCATGTATCGGGTCCCTTCTCGCCAGACACTCTTCAGGTACTTAGAGGCCCTGGTAGAAGATATACCTTCATCTTTCACGTTCTTGACTTTGTCCTTTACTTATGAATCAGGGAAAATATGTGCTGAAGGAAGAGTGCTGGAGTGAGTTGGATCTCTATCATCCACGATGGAGCCCACGAGAGCTACAGTGTGCAGAGGAGCGATATCTCAGGGCTTGCAAGGCTTCTCCTGTCTTTTTGCAGTTACCACGATGGAAGAAGCCATATTCTCCGCTTCAAAATCTTGGCCGCTTTGTGGTCTCAGGAACAGTGCATGAGATATTGCTCTCTGTATTCTTTCATGCCGCATTCTCTATCAATCCTGGGGATTCTCGAGCCACGGAGGGCTTACTTTTCACTGGATTGCATTTACTTGCATTGGCTCTTGATGTGTGCTCGTCGGCTAATTATAACTGTGAACATGACAAGAATGCAAATGATGCTGCGTCTAGTCCGGAAGGTATTGAAAGCAGGCTACCGTATTCGGGAAATATGAATTCTTCAACGTTTAAGGTGTCTAGCCCCAAACATGCTTCCGTTGAAGAAGAGAATGAATTGCCTCCACTTTTAGCACGTTCCATTCACAGGGAATTTGTCGGTGGTGCTGTTGGTTCTGATGCTGGGATGACGGAGCCACAGAGCTTATTGTCATTGTTAGTCATGCTTCTGAGAAAGTACAGCTCAGGTGAAGGTGTAATGGGCACAGTTGTGGAAACTAGCCAATATAGTGCAGGAGACTTGATCAAATCCTTACTACTCAAATTTGCCGACCTGCATCGAGGATGTATGTACGAGATAGAATCCTTGGTACCTGAAATTCTTCACAGGCCATCAGCTGCATTAAATATCGCTTCAAATTCGAATTCTGCGGGTGATAAAGAATCTGAAGACAAGCAAGCTGTAACAGATGTTGAAAAGCGTAAAGCCTTGGCCCGAGAGCGTCAAAAGGCGATCATGGTAAGTGGATGGGTTAGAATCACCGTTGTTTTCATACTGAACAACTTACATTAAGAGTGAAATATGTTATTAGAATTTTATTAATTTACTAGTGCTTCTTTGAGTTCGTCGCTAGTCATTGTAAGTTTGTGGGTGTGTGTCACATCTTCGTCTTTCATTCATCTCGTTGATTTTCCCCGGATTGACAGTTTCTTTTGAAAATTCATTAGGCGAAGATGAAAGCAGCCCAGGACAGATTTGTGGCTAGTTTGAAAGACGAAAATATTGACCGAGAGAAAGCGGAGGCTGTTTCAAAACAAACAAGGGAGTCTGTGGAAGTAGGTGAAGGCTCAAGCGAGGATTCTAATTCCACGCCTTGTGCTCTTTGTCGAGACACAGGTTCCTCCAGTCAGCTATGTTTCTTGACTTTAGTGCAGGTAATCATTACGGTCTCGTAAATACCAGTGTATGTCATGGAAGTATCAATAGGTGCAAACGTGTCTCATATTTATCGGAGCATGACTCTTCGAGCTGACCCCATTAGACGTCTGTTAAACTTGTACTTCTTCTTGTCGAGAAGGAATGAGTTTGAGCTTCTACATGAAGTGGAACTAGAAAGAACTTATTCGTGGTGTATGAATCCTTCAGAAATTAATTGTTACTTGTGCCGTAAGATTGTGAGATGAGATTACATGCAGCTGTGTTAACAATATGATCGTAGTTGTGGAATGTAAACTGTTCTCTGTACTAAGAATTTTCTTATACTTCACAGAAATCCAGATTACTTGCTCTTGCTCAAAAGCCAACCCCTTCGTGGGAAAGGGCGTCAGCCACAGTTGGAGTATCCTCGAGTGACAGAGGAATTGATGGTGGCAGGAACGCATCCGAAAGTGGAAACGTGGAAATGTACACAACAGCACACCTGTGGAATTGGATACAGGAAGCACTTGGTGATGCTGCTACCCGAGAAAGGTTGCTTGAAGGAGAAGCTCTACTTGAAGTGTTTAGGAATGGGCTGCATCCTAGAAATCCTGTTCGATTAAATGCTGTAGGCACACCTCCTGCGAGAGCCGTGGAACCTGCGGACACGGAAGTAGATGAGCCCGAGATCAATGGAGATAACAGCGAAATCGAGACCTGTCCAGAGACACTGCCTCTACATCCTACCAACTGGTGGGAGGAGGAATCAGTGCCTCAATTTTCTGACGAATGGACTAGTAGTAGAGAGCTGAACCTTGTTACAGTTTTGGCTGAGTATGTCGCAGCTGTCTCTAGAGATCGGAGGAGGCAAGGGGAGAGAGAGGTGCCAAGAACAGTTGAAGTGGAAGTTGCAAGAGAAGGAGGACCGATACGTCAAAGGCGGATAACACCAACGCGCAGTAATTCAGATGCTTTTGTGATTACTGGTCTTGGGATGCATGACACATCAGGAGTGTACTTATCTGCATGTGGACATGCAGTGCATCAGGAGTGTCTCGATCGATACGTCTCATCTCTTTTGCAAAGGTGAAGTACTTCAACTTTAGATAAAAAGATTCATGAGTATTTATCCCGTGGAAGACTGAACGCAAGATGTCGTAAATCAATCGGTGCCAGTCCGCATCTTGTGTCGAAGTCAGTGGATGTTTTTCGTTCTCTGGGTGAAGTAGTGGGAGTCCGCTGCCTATGTTTTCCAAGTGCAGGGCTTCTTTTGATGCCTTTAAACGCCCTGTGTTTTGTTTTTGTATTTTCCCGTTAGAATTTTGCACTCTATACGAGAAACACTTTGTTCTAGAGTTTCCAGAGTAGAGAAATTGTATGATGAATTGGAAGTCGTCTAGTCTTAGGAAGGTGTAACATGCGGATCTGAAACCTTGAAAGAGTGTGCATCTTTTATGCCTTTTGACGTAATGTGCTTGATTGGTTTCCAGGTTGCTATTATGTAACTAGGGATCCTGATTTTTTGCATGACTTCTGGAATACTTGTCTTCGTGCTTGCAAAAGAGTCCCCGAGACATCATAAGTGTTTCCTTTTTCCGGAACCCTTTTACTGACCTCATTGGTGACTAAATTCCCTGTCAGGGTGATCCCGCAACAATTTATTCGTACGAGTTATCCATTAAATATTAACTCAGCATATGTTTCGCAGGCCTTATGGTGTTACTAGGTAAATAAAACCTCGAGTTCTTACAAAAGCGCAGTTTACTGAACGTGTGCGCGAATTTCTTGTGCTTGAACCATGCAGGTATTATAGCAGAGCTCTTTTCGAGGGAGTACAGATTGTCGATCCTGATATGGTATTCCCCTTCTTAACTTTATCTGACCTGGAGGTTTTCAGACAGTTCTAAACGTAGTCTTAATTCACCAAATCCGTGTAATTGTCATAGCGGCGGTTCAGTATATTTTGTAGCTATCAGGTTTCGTGGCTAGAACATCTCTTTGTTCGCTTTAGCCATGCTCTCCAGCTTAGATGTTGAAGAGCATGGCTGAAGCGCAGTACAGATTTGAAAGCTATATCTAGTGGTTTATTTTTGTATCGAATTTCACTGATTTTGTATCGAAACCTTAATGCATGGACTTGATGATTTTCCCTGTCAAACACATTTCTAATGGGATGCATGTGTTACCTAAATTCAGGGAGAGTTCCTTTGTCCCGTGTGCCGACGTCTCGCCAATTCCATTCTTCCTGCCTTTTCTGGAAATGCCATCCCTGACAATCAGAGCAGGGCTCTCAACACAAGAGAAGCCTTGCAGTTACGTCCTTGTGCGGTAGAATCTAAAGTCTGCAAAGTGGAAACTAGTTCGTCAACAAATCTGCAGTTGGATCAAGCATTCCGCTTGTTGCTGAATGCCGAGTCTTTGGTCAATAAAACTGGATTTCGAAAAGCAGTAAGTACCCAACTGTCAGATTCAATCAAAGGGGCACTGGAAACTCTTGCAATCAGGCTTTATGGGCTCTTTCATCCGGACAAAGATCATCTTAGTGTACAAGCACACGGACGAGTGCCTCAGAGTTTACATCTCTGGGATGTTTTCCGCTACTCGTTAATGTCTTCCGAGTTAGCAGCTCGAACACGACAGAGGACCATGCAGGGATCGTTAAGTGGTTTGGTGATGCTTGAAGAAGGTGGAGATGGCGCGAAAGGATCTATCTTACCTCTCCTGTTACAGGCTGCCAAAGCAACTCAAGGACAAAGCAGGCAGATTGTGCTACTCCGATCACGCGGACTGCAGCTTTTAGTTGATTCCATCATTCATGGTGTAACCAGAGATCCGTTCCCCGAACAAACTTTGGCAGGTGAACTTGCGATTCTATGTTGAGAGTTTTTCGGAGTGCATACAACTGCTTACGAGCTCATCGTAACTTTGTAATGGAGAGACTGGTCATTTTGAATTTTATATTTTTGCAGTACTCTCAGTCGAAAGTAATGGTTTCTTTGTGCTGCAGGAAACTACACCTCGCTACAACAATATCTTGAGAAAAGTCAGGATTCATCAGATGTGCAGTTTTGGAAGCGCTTGGCTGATCCCGTTCTTATTCATGACTCGTTTTCCTCATTGATCTGGTTGTTATTTTGCTTACCGGCGCCACTGCCACCAGAGGGAGGTCCTTTCACGGTGCTCGTGCATTTATTCTATATGGTTTGTCTCACACAGGTATTAATCCTCTCCCCACAAGTATATCGGTACGGGTCTGTCTTTGAGACGGCGCCTATTCACGAAAGTCTGCTATGAAGGCTGCTTGTTTAAGACTACATGCTCAGACTTCCATATCCCAATATGCAAGTCTGAGCATGTAATCTAAAACTCATTGTTGCCAACTTTTGTTCATAATTGATTACCAAATCAACCTCTTGATTTCTTTCCGTGTTTTCGTGCTTTTTTCTAGCCTGTGTGTAGAGTGTTGAGGAAGGAGCTTGAAGATAACAATAGAACATCAAGAATGTGGTAGGGATATGTATTCATGGTCGCTTATTCTGTAAACCTGGTGTTGTCACGTGTAGGTCATTGCGTATCATGGAATAGCACTCGCGTCAGAAGCCGAAGTAGGGTCATCCGTACCGAGCTTTGTAACAGCTGTTCAAGCTGCCTTAAGCGGAGCTGCGCTTAGTCCCGTGGATGATGACAAATCTGCTGTTCCCCCCTGTCCATCGCTGGACGTCATCCGTCAACTGACATTACCATACCTTCGACAATGTTCCTTACTGAAGAAGCTACTATCAGGAACAGGTCAAGTGGTGCCTGTAGCTAGGGCCCATCTTTGGGAGCTCTCACAGAATAGTTCCTCAGCTTTTTCACGATCAACCAGCACACCATCGGGTGATGGCAGGCACGAGGAGGAGGAAGTTGCGAATGAGTTGGAAGAACTTGATCAGCTTGAGACTCTCTTCGCGATTCCTCCCTTGACTTCTTTGTTGACGGATGAGCGTCTTCTAAGTGTTGCCCTGACCTGGTGTCAGCATGCGCGTACTGCTATAGGCAAAGAATTTCATATCAAGTCATATATACCCCGCCCAGTGAGGGCTGTTCCTTTTAAGTTGATGGAACTCCCACATTTGTTTCAAGACCTTTTGCAGCGGTAAGCTGGAGAGCTGGATCAAGTTTGAAAGCAAGCATAGATTTGTAACTGCTCTGCTACTTGTTGCTTGTTCAATCAGTACCGTTCACGTCATGCTCAACCCCGTTGTTTCCAGATGTGATTGTTTGTCTAACATGGTATTTTTTTCTCCATAGCTATGTGAAAGAACGATGCCTTCGATGTGGGAAAGTTCCGGATAAGCCTGCACTTTGTTTATTATGTGGGACGCTCGTTTGTGCCATCACCAGCCGACCATGTGCCTGCAGCAGGTTGGTGAAAATTCTTCTCTTATATAAGTACTATCAATGGAGATTGTCATTTTGTACACTTTTTTTTTTGGGGGTTTAATTTTTCGTGTAGTTGGCGTTTGGTCCTTTTTCTTTCTATCTAGAAGTAGAGGTAGCATTCACGTGGGTCTTCCAGGCGTGGAAATGTTTTTGTGACACATCAGTTAACTCCATCACTAATTCACTCGTCTCACCAGTGTTCCTAAAATTTGACTATCACGATAGAGATTGATTATCAGAAGCGATCAAATTTTTATTGTGACTTCGTTATTTGTCTTTTGCTACCTCCTTACTTCAAGGAACCACCGGAATTGGATTGTCTGATGCCGTTCTTATGTGAAGTCCAGATTGCTATTTGCAAATTCGTATTCTAGCCCTGTATTTGAAACACCCTGATGTGTGGCCCGTATGCCGATTATGGTCGCAGTTTGAATAAGCAAGGTGAATGCTACCGGCATGCGATGGCGTGTGGTGCCGGTGTTGGAGTCTTTCTGATGCTCCGGGTATTGCCACGTTTCTAATAAGCATATTTTAATAGGAAGTTGTTTTTCTGCAAAGTGTCAGGCAGGATGAATGCTACATTTTTTTTGAGAGTAGGGAGTTGGGGAAGAGCTCTTCCTGTGTACGTACTGAACTAGACTAGAAGTTAACTCTTTCAGCTGCCGAGTTTGATGTCACCTTGTTTCAGTATTTCGTTACTAGAGCTTCGTATGCCTGACAGGGTCCATAGGTTCCGTCGGTTCTCTATGTATGGTTTTCCTCTCGTGACCCTGATGTTCGGAATTTGTTGTGTTGCAGAGGACCAACATTCTGCTTCAGCGATGTGAACGACAGGCGAATTGGCCATCACCTTACTTGGATGCATTTGGAGAGGAGGTAGGGAAAATGGATTCGCGTAGTGCATATGGTGAATAATTTTGGACCACTTTCATTGATATCATCGTCTTGCTTATCTGAAATGTGTTTCTAAGATACACAATTCGTCTTTTTGTACATTCTGCAGGATATGGATCAAAGAGGAAAGCCTTTATTTTTGAGTGAAGACAGATACGCCGCTCTTACTGCGATGGTACCCCTTACATCCTACTCAAGTGTTTTGGGTTTGTTCGTATTATGTAGTTGAAGGTGCCCATTAGTTTATGGAGTCCATATGTACTAAGGCTATTTTGGGGTGCAGATCGCGTCACATGGGCTGGATTACAGTTCTTTGGTGCTTGCTCAAACAACACGTCAGACCCTCTTTTGATATTCGAAGATCACTTCTGAAGTATGAACTGGTCCTAGACTATGATCTCAGCAGCTGGTGTTGAGGCATGGTTGTCCGGCCTGACGAAGTAGAGACAGAGTATGGATACGATCGTGGTTGCAGGTCGAATCACGTGAAATGGATTTTTTTCTCTCGTGTTAGATAACACATGTGACCAAGTTTGAGGATGGACACGATATCTACGTGAAGCCCATCAGTGCTATTTGTTACTCAGGTAAGTCGCATTTGTTTTATATGATGTTTTATATTTGTTAAGATCTACAACTCTTGTCCTTTGTTTACAAGGCTTAATCTGTGATGATTTTAAAGATCTTTCTGGAAATTCAGAAGGCCGTCAAATGGAGATGTTGTTTGTGGCTCAGTAGGAACTTTGTTTTACAACTGCGCTTGAAGAAGATGGATTCGAAGAGAAATCAACTTAATATCCTTTTCGTTGGGTGTAATGTTTCTCCGCGATCACAGCTCGTCTCTTAGCAAAGATGGACAGGCAGCAATTGAAACGATGTGCGAATTCTGAAGCAAATGTTTGGGAGTTGTGCAGGTTTATAAGTTATCACATCGTTTGATGGTTGACCTTCAGTTGGATCTGAGACCAAAGTGGTTGCCAGCGTCAACAGGACTCGCTGGAACCCTACATGTCTACCCTGCAAAATAACATTAATGATAGCAAGCAATTTTCAGTGTACAGTAATGACTCAACTAGAGTAGGAGGTGATGTTTGCAGTGGCATTTCATTAGTCCAATTTATGCAGGTTTATCTTACAAATGTATATACTTGCATTGGTGTGAATATATATTGGAAACAACTCCTGGAAGTTCAATTAGTTAGATTCAACTGAGAAATGGTGATTAAACAGTTGTCCATTTGTCCTTGTAGAAATTTCAATACTGGTTGCGTTTTCGCACTTCCGCAACCCATTGATATATGATGTAGTAAGGTTGTGTTTTGATGGATACTGGATGTCGTTTTTTCCCAGCGGCCACTTGCTCCTCGGTTCTGGGATATACGCGTTGAGATTTTCTAGTCTTGTTCTATGGTTTATTTATGGAATTCACTTCGGATAGGCCCGGCTTGTGGCCGAGATTTGATGTCGATGTTAAGTACTCGGCTTCTACGTCCAGTGTTTGCATTGGGGCGGGAATGGGTTGCTCTTGTTCTCAATGTGTGGATAAACAGAAGGCACTCTTACGGCGCTTAGAGCTGACTCTGGCTTCTGAGCAGGAGAGCTTGTGTGTGTGCAGGTGGAGGGGTGTCCGAAGTAAAGATAAGTACTTGGCCCCGTAAATCACAATAAACAGGTTTCACCCTCGTAAATGCTTCCTTACGATGTATTCCAATTCAGACCTGGATTCAATGGCGAAGCAATAAGCCAGTTTATATGCTTTCCCAGATTTCCTTAATGACTACGTAAGTAATCTTGAAGGTATGGTGTGCTGTCATCTAACCATCTTGCCATGTCCAAATGAGGAGCATCATATTATATGGGGATAATATTAGCGATTTACTTATGCCCAAAAGGACTTGACAGTAACATTATGTGTTGATAAATCATATCTTACATGGCTATACTCAAACGAACGCAATTCAGAGGTGCTAATCTTTTTTGAGAGCTAGTGGATTGAATAAATCCACGAAGGAGTTCACAGTACTCTCAAATGTACTGTTAGCTTGTGATACAGTTGGTAGCCCAGGGGAAGTCCAAAGTATTTGTAGCCCGAATGGTAAAATGGGCTAAATATTAAATGAAGAAATGGTTGGTCAGAAGCATATAGAAGATGCTTATACACAGAAAATCTCACCTCGGATAGAGAGCTTTGCTCTCAAAACCAAGATAAAACCAGCCGAAAAGGCGAGTTAGTATACTATGACACAAAAAGTCAATATGATTTCAGACTGAACTGTAGTTTAGATCCAGATTTGACGTTTATTATTATGGAACACTCTTCTTATCAAGAATTAAATTTAGATATTACTTTGGTTCAATATGTCCACAATCGATAAACATGTTTGACTTTTGTTTCGGTAGGGTGTATTATTCATCAGTTTTCTAAATCGTCCTAGCCATTCAAAACATCAGTATCTTGGAATAATACCGTCTGTCAAGTTGATCTGGTGTATTCACGACAACACCGTAAAACGGCGACTCGCTTAGTTGCACAAACTGCCGTACTGTCAGTTGTTAGGGATCCAATTTCTTTCTATCTTTCTTGCTTCATGGTCCATTCGGGCAGACCCGAGTCAGCCGGATTTTATCTTAGTTTAGGGGATTTGAGGGTCGGCGGATTTCGACCGGACTCAACTTTCGACAACCATGTAGACGCTGTCAACTGGATTAAATTCCGACAACCATGTAGAGGCCGCAAAGCCCCATCTAAAGTAATGTAGTGGAATCTAAACTAAAGGTTACTAAAACTAAACCGCAAGAGGGATAGCTCAGTTGGAATTCCCAATAAACTCAACTGTAATATTTGTAATCCAAACAATGATAATATATTATGGCGACAAAATTTTAGACGGCAAAGTTTAGGGTTTTTGAAAATAGAATCACATCGATATCTTCCAGCTCGTTGATGTTTCGACGTTGCTTTTGGGTGTCAATGTTAGTGCTTTGAGGAGCTCGTGCTTGTACTTTTCTTGTCATTTCAGGTGCTTTTTGCAGGTGTGATGACAATATGGAGGCAGGATGGATTGTGCAGAATCCACCGTGTGATGGACCTTTTAATTCGCTAATCTTGAATTGGTCGAATGGGACAGCCTATATCAAAAGCTGAAGGCTTAACAATTTTGTTTCGGGAGACTCATCTTGTTATAGTGATGCGAAGACGGAATTTGTGACACGCTGCTCATGAAAGGGTGGAGGACCTAGGCACCGTTGGGAATCATATACAATGTATTATTGCAAATATGGTACTCGAGAAAGGGGCAAGAAGAGTATACTTAGTTCAAATTTTATTCAAGATCCATCAACAAAGGCAAAATTTGATCTAGGTAGCAGGGATAGATTAGATCATGATTCTCATCACAAGGTTTATCAGTGCAGTTTTAGTGCCATTAAACTGTTGTCTAATGTTCACATTCCATCAGGGACCACAAAGTTGCTATACAAGCATAGAAGACAGGTAAATGTTGCAGGTGTAGCTTGTCATGGCACAACGTGTCCGGATAGTGTTGGCTTGCCATCTCCGAAGGCGCACAATTTATCCTCCGAAAGCAAGTAACGACATATTTCTAATATTTTTAATGTATTTGTTTATCGTTCACAGTTAATCGCTTGTCATATTTGTAATATGTACAATAAGTTTATTATTATTACAGTTTGTAAAACTTTGACGCTAAGCAAGCACGTTGTCTAATATTTTCTACGTTCTTTCGCCAAGGAGTGGGTTGAATGCGAGTTAAAAAGAGATTTCACTCCTCCACAAATTTTCATGCGTACTACAAAAGCACTGTTTGAAAATCATTAGAGCTTAGGCTACGTGCAAGGTACTCCTATTAGAGATCATTATTTCATATCTGCTGATGTGTATAATATGAAATTGGAGCTCGACACAGAAACTTGGAGAAGTCATGTTAATGATAGAAATAGCAGCGAATTATAGATGAAAGCGAATTCATATCAAGTTGTTTTGTATCACGCACCAAAAAGTGATATATTTAAACCATTGAGGCTTGTTGTTACAAGAGCCTTGCTCCTAATATGGTTGCTAAAACATGGAATTGGAGGTTGTGTTGCTATAGATGAAACGCATGGCACGTAGAATAATATTCTACTTGTCCATTCTGATGGTTTTGTCATCAGACTTCCATGATTATGTATATTCTACCTCACAATTTGCAATATCTGCAAGATACTTGGAAAAATGACGGTTTGGAGCTTTGACTAGTCTAGTAAGACGTTATTGAACTTCTCAATGTATGTTGTATATGTTGTTTTATAACTTGATCAAGTCTAGCTTATCAATACATAAAAATAGCAAATCATTCATTTCCATCAAGTTTAGCTTAATATCAATGAAGATGATTACTTTGTAGACGACTGCTAGCAGCTAACTGATACGTTTAATTTATTTTTTGCAATGCAGTATCCATTGTACATCATTATGGTGTTTGACGAATATGAACACGGACATCCTACTATCATTGGATTCCTCAAAAGAAAAGAAACACAAGATCTGGTGGAATTATTATCTGCAGTGAAAAACATTATTATATCCTTGGATGGATGCCCTCTTGCTTCATGACGGATTGTGCTGACAATGAGAGAGTTGCCCTAAACATTGTTTTTTTGCATATCCCTGTATTTCTTTGCATATATCATGTTCAAAAAGCATGGACAAAGAAATTGATTGACATTATGCGTGATCATGAAAAGAGAGCTATTATGAATGCTACATTAGAAGACATGTGCTTTGGAAGCACATTGATTGCTGATGGAAAAGAATTTGATGTGAAAAATCTACTGCGATGAAGCTTCTGTTATTTTTAAAAAAAATTCAACTCTCTGAGCCACAATTTGTGAAGTAATTCTAAAGAAAATGGGAGCCTTGTATGGGTAAGTGTAAGTTTGTAACATGTGCATTCTATATGGAGTTATTACATTTTGGAAGTCGTTTTTTGCTTAATGGTCTTCCACAAGTACATCTAACTTATTATTTTCGAATTCAGATCAATGGATTCGTGATGAATGGAGGAAGACATGCCGTAACAATCAAGATATCACCAACGGTATGGAATCAATGCATAGACACATGAAGGATTTTCTTTATGGCTGGCGCAGGAATGCACATAAACAACGTTTGGATCATACAGTATATAGTCGGCTAGGGGATTTTGTAATGAGAATTTGATACAAAAATCAGAAGAAGCTAATTGGCTTTATTCCAAATGAGAAAAAAGTTCAGCGTGTGATTGTTGTGATCATCAAGACAAGATCTATGCTAAATGTCCTTGTTACTTGGCCTCATGACTATGCAGGCCCCGCATTAGTGGGCTCTACATCAAAGCCCAATAGAAGTTATCTTGTAAATTGGAGACGAGAAAAGTATGCATACGAGTGCTTTTGGTCACTTCAAGTCAATTTTTACAAACATCAAATACACCTCAGATTGCAATTCTCTCTTTGATTGCATATATTACATATATTGGTTGCATTTGTATATTTGATTAACACTGTTTGTTTCATGTGTGTCTAGATTTTTATTCTACGAAGTAAATGATATTGTGAGATCAACATCCGCATTTGTTTGGGCATACGCTTCGGTGGAATACGAGGTGGAATTAAAGAGCTCTTTTATAAAGGTCCTTCATCACAAATATATGATTTAAATGAAGATCCCGTGAGTCCAAGAGAATTTGCACATATTGAAGTCAAAAATGATCACCATGATATTTTCAACCCCACATAAGGTACTTTAAACTATCATTTCAATGTCACGATTTGTGCGGCCATGCAACTCTGTGAAGCTATCTAACCGTATATGTTCTCTCAGTTATCAGATAAGGACAGCCCTATAGAAAAAGCAACAAAGCCAACAGATTTTAGTAAGAAGAAAAGACCAAGTGTGCTCTTTGTTATACGGCTGAAATACTTTTTTTATGAAAGCTCTAGTATGATCAAAGTGGGAGAGCTAGAGCTCCGGCATTGCATTGGATGTATCAAGGAGTCTCACCAAACATAGAGTAGTGGTAGAATACTTTTTGTTGCACACATGTGGTGTACAGCCATGCTAGACAAGCCCAACTCATCATTCAGGAAATTGACTTGGCTTGAAAGATTATCATGCATTAAATGTCGTAAGCCACAGAGAGTACTTGAAACAGTAGTAAGATTAAGATCCCAACCGCAGATTTAGGAAAGGTAGAAGAATTTGCTTTGCAGAAGGTAATTGAACATATACATTTATATGTAGTCTTTCTTTTCAAATCTCACTTTGTAAATTTTGCAATTTGAAAAGAAAAAAAAGTTTATAAATTTTGGGAAAAAACTTGTAAGATTTTTATTCATAGAATCGAATAATATTTTTTTGAAAAAACTGTATCATGTGAAAAAATACTTCATAGTATATGATTTCAAATATTTATTAGATTAAAATAAAAAATTAAATAACATAGTAATATAATAAAACATGTTACATTTAAACCATAATGTATTCAATAGTTGAATGGATAAAAAAAAATTGGTGTTTCAGTTTATCAAAATGATTTGATGCAACTTCAAAAAATTATTGTCAATTGAGTATTGTTGATTTGCTTTGCATGTTTTTGATGTTAATGGTCTCAAAATATATTATAGTAAAAATAATATTTAAATATAAAATTGACAGATTCAATGTTTTTATTCATAAATTTGCATAAATTTAATAAAAAAAGAAAGAAAGAATTTTTTTTTGTTAATTTAGCTTCTCATTTCCTATAAATTTTATCATAATGGTTACAAGATCATGATGGAAAAATTTCGCACTTGTCAACTTTATTCCACCAAAGTTTTTTATGACACAAATTAGGGTTTTATGAGTAAAGCATCTTGTATTTCCGTGAACATTGTTGCATATACATAAGGAATTTTGTGAAATTTGTCATGACTTTTGGTGCAAGTTGTTTCATATATATATTTCTTGCTTTCTATTAACTAAAATTTTGTCGCAACAAGATTATTTTAACCATTAATTTGTATTACATAGAAATAGCAAATTCAAATGCACAAATTGAACACAAATTTTGATCGGCCGCTTCAAATTTTCAAAGAATTTAGCGTTCACATCCAAAAAAAATTTCTAAGAAGATTTATTGGAAAAATTTACCAGCAAAAATAATTACAAATTCGAATTAAAAACTAATTTCTTTAAAATAAAAAAATATAATTTAAACTTAAATTTTCAATTTGAAATTTAAACTCATCACAAAACTTGCATTGTAAGTTTTATTTTGATTACAAAATTGATAAATAATATTTTTGCAAATCATAGTTTTCAAGTGTAAATTTTATCTTTAATTTCAAATCAGATTATTACTCATTTTTAAACTTCCAAATCAGATTTTTCTATATAATAACAAGTGGACAGCAAACAAAAATGTTCAAGACGAAAAATATACTTCACCATCCTAAGTACTCTATTCAATTATATTCCGTAATAGAAATCAAAAGGTCAACTGGACCAGTACAATTCAGCAACTCAGTACAATTGCCGTAACACTTCCTACTCTATGCAACGCGGATTATTTCTCCTTGTATCCTTGTATCAGTTGTTTGGCTACAAAGTACATTTATTGATTGCGACTTCTAACTAAATGTTACTACTGCCCGGAGTGACAAACATAGATGAGGTCGCAGTGGGTAACAGCGATTTTAGTGATCCGAATAGGCCAAATGTGACTCACTCGCTCGTTCCACAAAGAAACAGGGCCAAAATCGAGCTATGCAGAGAAAAAAAAATAAAAAATTTTGTCGTCATAACGGGAAGGTGAGCTGGGCCATGCTCTCAAAGTCCGGGACCTAGGTCGGTGAGAGCACTTTCGAGGCAGCTATATTCGCCTCGAATTGATGACCGCCAAGTCCTAGACCTACCCGTGAATCTCGTCTGTTCTAAAGACACTTTGTTATGCAACTTCCGAGAGCAGTAAAGGAAGCTGCAATATAATGTTGTGCATTTCTCGTTTGTTCTAAAGACACTTTGTTATGCAGCTTCCGAGAGCAGTAAAGGAAGCTGCAATATAATGTTGTGCATTTCTCGTTTGTTCTAAAGACACTTCGTTATGCAACTTCCGAGAGCAGTAAAGGAAGCTTCAATATAATGTTGTGCATTTCTCGTTTGAATCGACCGTTTCGCGGCAAGCTTTTTGCTCTCGTATCTAGGCACAGCATGCTGTCCCCTGCCAGGCCGTTTGCTCATTTTTTCACATAGAAGTTGAAATGTGTTTCTAAGAAGCTGATATTTTATGCTGGAATTACCGTTAGTAAGCAACCCGCTAATTAGAACTCAACCTGTCCAGATCACGTAGACTAAAACAACTACAATTCAATTCTGGGTCCCAACAGAACGAATCCACGCTTGCAAGTTATTTATGAGATGGACAACGGTCAAACTTTCTTTCTTACAACACCAGCATTACGGTCTAGTTCTCGTACAGCAAAAATTGGAGTACCTGGAGAGAAGGGTTCCAGTATGCATGCACACAAATATCTTAGTCGAATCTCTTTCTAAGTCATCTCCTGACACAAGATCGAACCGCAAGTATACAATCACAGGACCTCGTAAAAGTCCATTGCTAGTTTTAAACCAAATGTTACAATGCATGCAGCGCCATATGTGCTTTGACTGACTGCGTTCCTCACTCAAGCCTGCTTCTGGGCTCGAAGACTGACTAAAGTCAGGCAAGCAAATCGATTTGGCTGTGGAGAAATTTCAGATCAAAGAAATAACTATTGTGACAAGAAAACATCCGTTTAGACGGCTCTTCAACCGTTATCACCGTCACTGATGAGAAGAAGCCTTAGAATATCCATTGACCTTTAAAAGACGACTCCAGCGCACGTCCGAACTTGAACCAAAGATGTTCCCCCATCCAGTTGAAAAGTGGATGGGAGAACATCTTCGCTCCTGTAAGACTCTTCCCTGATGATAACCTTCGCAGGTATTGCGATGCCAAAGATTCTTTAATCTGAACTTTGGCAGTCTCTGTAGTTTTTAAGGCCTCAGACCATGATCATCTCTACGATAGCCAACATACTTGTATCCTCCCTTTTCTTGTCTAGATGGCCTTCATGACGAGTTGTCTCTGCTCTTTGAGGTCGCGTACATTACGCTCTGCACATGCTGATTCTGTTATACAAGGACAGATTGATTCTGCCCCTCTTCTGATGATGTACACGAGATCTGCATCATGGAGAATGAACGGCCGGATGCAGGGAATTTGACAAACTGAAGTCCTTTTGCAAAACTTGGTCAGCTTGTATCAGCTTGGCTCTGAGCTGCTTCGCAGTAAGACAAGCATCTCACACAACAGGATGTATCGTACGTCATAGGTAGAGTGCAGGCTGAGGGCAAACCGGCATTACAGATACAAAGATCCAGCTGACTCTGCCCATTCCTCTGAGAATCTGAGCTCAATTCTTCCGTGAGACACAAAAAGGCAGCGTCGTTAACTCCCCAGAATTTGAATCCGCTTTATGAGTATACTTTCATGAGCTGTTGTTTAGTCTGATACATTGAAATGAGGAACATTCGAATCGCCTCCAACCTGAAGTTAAATAATTCTTCCCGCCAGTATTCAGACAACACTGGATCCGGGAGAACTAACTGCCTGTCTCTGTCTTTCAGCATTCAGTTGCTCTAAGATATCATTCAATGCATATTGGCACCTGCAATACAATAAAAATCTGCCTGTTAGAAAATTTCTTCGTTTAGCATTAAAAAGAATGCAAATATACTAGACGACAAAGTAACATGCGCTCAAACAATACTGACAAGTAATTGAGTATTTTATATTCGACGAAAAACAGCCACACACTACAGCAAAAAGGAAGTTCAAAAAATTGAAGGTGGGCAAATTAGCCGGTAGACATGTACTTACTTCCATGGCATATGATCTAAAAACATAGCGGGAGATACTAGGATATCTCTGAATTGCTTGCGATCCTTCAGATAAGCTTTATGCTTTGGTCTTTTAGGAAGATCTGGATTTCTGGCGAAGGTGAAAGACCTTCTAAGCGCAGACCAGCTACTGTTGCCGGTATTTCGGACAAGATGTAGGACCAGACCGGGAACATACATTTCTGCCGGCCACATCTCTTGCAGGTCAACTCCAGGACCCAAACCCACCAAATGCTTAGGCATTCCGTTATCAAGCAGCTCCATAGTACTACGTGCATCTCCTGATCCGTCGACTGCGACATCTCTTTCAAGCCTGCCTGTTCCACTACATTCGACAAGATCTTCTGCCTCATCTTCATCATAATTTTCACTGCCTGCATCCAATACAACGGCTTCTCTATCAGCAAGATGACAGCTCACACCTTTAGCACCATTTCTCTCCTCTGGAGACTGGGCCTCAATAAATCCAATCCGATGTCCATTGTCCATGGCACCCAAAAAACTTCTTGATGAGTCCTGGTAAGTAACCTGCGACTTTTTAATCAAGGTATGTTCTTCTATAGATTCGCGATGTTCATCATACTGAACGGACTCGCGATGATCATCAAAATGATGGTGATTATCAAAAGGTTGCACAATGCTGGCCAGCTGCATTCCAACCGAGGGGGAAGCAGAACTATGCCTCGGCATTTGCACCACGCAGCGGCAAGCATGAGCACAGAGAAAAGCTCCACCTTTGAGAGCATGGGCCACTCGTCGACGCCTTCGTTGCGAGTGTTCGCTTTTCCCTGATTGTGTATCTTTAGAAGACGAAGAAGTAAAGAGCCGCTTTGTAAGCTTGGTAACCAGAGCTGAATCTGTGTTTGCATCTGTTGCCAAAGCTTGCAATGCAGCTGCACGTAACCTCATAATTGCTGCTACTGAGAGTCGTGATGAAAATTCATCATTATAAATTATACTGCACACGATAGATAAGGTTGAGATATGGATGAGATTCAACTTACATCTCGACTGATACGAACAAATGGTGAAGCCCAAATCGTGATACTTTTCTTCTACTTCAACCCTATATTTTACAAGAAGTGTATGTATCAATAGAATATGAAGAAGGCAAACGTTACCTGGTAGTAAAACTTGAGCAAGCTTCCGCAGTAACCAGGTCAACGCAGGGCAACACCCCAAAAGTGTACACATGCAAACTTGGGTATCGGTTGGCAAGCTGCAATCAGCAGAGATGATATCTCAGGCCTCTTGTGCTACAATTGATAAGAAGAACCACCTAAGTTTGGACTTTAACCTCAAGCTGGACAGCTACGAAGAAAAGCAGTATGAACCTTCAAACTCACCCTTAAGCCAGTCAGAGCCGCTATCGCGCCACCCAGTGAGTGGCCCACTATCCTGAGAGAATATCCTTGGCATTCACCCCCAGGTCCAAGCAATGAAGTAAGAAGCCCTTTCTTCTCTGTCAACAACGAAGCCTGACAACCTGTCACACATCAAATTCGAAGAGAAAGGATTAGAGTGTATCACGACAGAGCACAGGGTCATCATATAGCAACAATGTCTCCTTACAAATAAGAAACAAAAGCAACAATTTGCGGGATGAACATGAGACGTGATAGAAATTTTCTATCACGAGTACTTTTCTATTAGAAAAGTACTCGCATGAGCATAAACTTAGAATGACCTCTTTAACTTTCTTTCCAAAGCTTAGATTTCTGCTGTACAAGCCCAGATCATACCTCCTGCCGTAGATCTGTTGTTGTTTTTGTTACAGTCATTGCTAGTTGAGGACCCATTCTGTGCGTTTTCTTCGTCATCTGCATCGGGTAGATTGTCAAGTTCCAATGCAAGTTCTCGGGCTGCCTCAATCACACCGATGTGTCCAAAATGGGGCATGGTAGCCTGTACATCCTGTTTTACCCTATCCGACACTGTGTTGTTCCTGCAGCAACACAGTACCGGTCAATCACCAATCGTAGACTGAAGTACAAGCGATTGTCCTTTTTGCGTGAAGAAGGTTACGTATACCACATAAGTGGAATCTCAGCACACATTTACAGAAAAACTAACTGCGTCCTTGACAATTGCTTTACATTCAAAAGGCTCACAGGAAATCTATACTGCATGTTTCTGGAATACACTTCACGATACAAGACAAATTTGATTCAAGTAGAAAGCACTTTCAAAATCTATAATTCCTATTACACTCACTTGAGAATTCCACATAAATCTGAGTCCATCAACGCACTCTCTCTCCCTAGACCGTCTGTTAAGAGATCTTCTGGTGTCTCTGTTCCACGAACTGCGACTACCACGTAGCGCAGGTGATGGAGTACCACAACGAAGTACACAGACTCCCTCTTTGTCTGCACATATGATACACCAAACTAGTGACTTCAGAGCCAAACTTGGGGAAAACAAAAATACTACATCCTCGTATCAGACGCTAAGGTCTCATTAGGTAGATAAAGTCCAAACTGTGACTGATTCTACAGACGAAAAGGCCAAGCTCATATTATATGGAAGTATTCCTTGACTGTGAAGAATGTGCTTTCAAAAGTGGATAGATTTCCTAGAAATCATTGGCGTGAGATTATATTACTGCCTGCAATCTACAAAGCACCTGTAAAACCCTTCCTTTACGAAGGGCCTCGGGAGGAATCTGCGCAAATCTCAGAAAGGCGGCAGCATGCCCTCTCCACCAATTATCCCCTTCCAGTTTTGGCATTCTGCATGGTACAGAGAGTAGCATGGTTGTCATTCTCAAAAGAAGGTGACTTGATTCATAATGATTCTTTTTTAGGTGAATTTATAAAAATAAAAATTGTGAAATCAATGATGACACATAACAGATGCTTCAACAGAAAAGTTGTTATGAAAGTCGACACTTGAACACGCACTGCCCCCTTTCCTAACAATGATGACCCAAACCAGAAAGTTTGAATGTCAGGTAGGGACCTAAGGCACCTACAACATGTCCATGCTTGAGACTCACACGAGCTGAGAGGGGACACGGAATTTCTATTAACATTCTTAACAGACTCTCCGACCGATGACTTTCTCAATATTCAGCCGAAAATTTCATGAGTTAACAGAGGAGAGAGAAAGACATACCTGTTTCGCTTCCAAGGGGTCAATACTCCCTGCCGATAAAGCCAGGCACAAGGAAATGTAAAAGGGTTGCGCCCGACATCCAGTAGAGGACCCTGTTCATGGATAGAAAAGTACGCATACAGATACACAGTCAGGGAATAAGAAAGAGACCTTTATCATTGTGAAGGAACGCTTGCAGATAACATAACGCATGCGAAATTATGCTCTGGAATCCTCTGAACACTATTCTATCACAATGTTAGGATTTAAAGAGGATCTCCGAGTATAGAAGAAACACGTTGGATGGAAAAGCTTGACTTCTACCTACCGTATATGCAGCCACGGCGTAGGGATGAAGGACAGTGGCCTCACGAATAAGAGGATCAGGAGCGGGTAATAAATTTTCATTTGCGTCTTCAGCTGGAGCACTTTCTCTCAACAGGGCCACACCTACATAGGATTAAAAAGGAGAGATAAAACGTCCGAGAGCCAAATGCTCAAACAGCAGAAGTTTGATACGGGCATGCCAACAAACTGGTGAGTTGTACCGTACGTACAAGCCTAACTAAGAGATATATTAATAACAACATGATCTCCTATGGCTGACTACGTATGTTTCCGACTGAAAGCGAGATTCTGAAAGCTCTCGTGAGGTGAGGAAAGTGGTATAATATGACTTCCAGCATAAAACCAAGTGACAAGACGCTAGATTATTCAACAGACGCGAAATGAGTATACAGATGTATGGAGAAGTTCATTATTTTAACACACCGGCAATGACCTCCAAGTGACTTGCACCAACGGCACGATATGCCACCAGATCTCCAAGAAGGGCTGCAACAGAATCAACTTCATCTTCTTCCAGTACACTCCTGCATTAACGAAAGAACTTTAAGCATGAGGATTACTACCTTCAGAACGTAGAACTTACAGTAGCAAGGCCAAATAATGCTATATTCTAATCAGCAGTCTGAAACTGGGAATAACCAACGCGACATTTGATCAAGTTTATCTGAATATGACACATTCTCAAAGTTTTGACCGTCAGATAAGAAGTTGACTGGTGAAGCAGGAAGAGAAGCTTCACGACCTCATACACGAAAATAATGCACAGGATTTTTTTGGTGTAGGTTCGAGAGAAAAGGCACTCATGAGAGACTTTGTAGATGCCAACGCAACACGGAGATGACCATCTTCACCATTTGATGCGGTAGATTTGAAAGATGAACTTCAACTTACATGTACCGCCTTCTTCCCAAACAACAGAGAACTTCACGGATGCCATAGTCGAACATTTGGCGGTAGTGAGCTCTCCATGCCCCATAGTGTGCTCCATACAACAACCTCCAAGCTAAAACATCTGATCCGACACAGCACTGAGCAAACACTATGATACTTCCCAGAGTTGGTAAACCAACCATCAAAGCCACAAGCCATCTTTGTTCGTTTCGACCATCTGCAACACAAGGACATTGACAAGTGTCAAAGAAACAGGCATCGATGACTAATCATCCATGTATCTATCACAGACGTAAGTTATTCTTTGTGTCAAAAGCAAGTTATTGCTTGTAAGAAACATAAATTTTGATCAAAACTTACCAACTGAGCAAAATGATACGTGATTACTTTGCGTAGATAAATTCCTTCCAAGAATCAATGTAAGGTAAGCAGTGCTCATCACTTGGAGAAAGGTCATTGTAATACCAAGTCGACTCCACCATAACCAGCGCCTGTACCACCTCTACTTGGACACAATCCAGCATGAAAGAGAATTAATCTATCGTTGAAATAAGCCGCGGTAAGATTCATTCTCTTTGCTCATTTCCAACATTAGAGAATGTGCGCAAAAGAAACTTAATCGAAATATCAGAAAGTTAAGAACACTTCAAAGACTTCATGCAACTATGAAGGACCTTTACAGCGTGTAAGATCCGTAGAAAAGATTTGTCGAAATCCCCCAGCAACAAATTATTACCGCTCCTGAAGAGATTCCTACCAAATTATTATTTGAAAGATTGTGAGTACATCTTCTAGCATAATAAGTTCTGAAACTTACTCGACGTTCACGTCTGGAGCAGCTTTCATCAGCAGGAGATCTTGAAGCCTTGGAATCCTCCACAGCAATCATCGTGGATGCAGTTACTGCTTGAGCAAAACCCATGCCAATAATCCAGATTACACGAAACAAAGCAACCAGTGCCATCACAATAGAAGCCATAAGGATATTGTGAGGGCAATTTGCATTTGAAGCACCCACTGCCACAAGCCCACCAGCCACGATGACGGCCACATTGAAGACTCCTAATAAAACTACCACTAATCTCACATTCCTCAGCTGCCCTAAGCCTGTTCGCTCCATAACTCGCCCTAAGAGACCGAAATCTTTAAGTCCAGTCACGTCCCTCCTCCGATAATTATCACCCCAGCGCTGCAGCCGACTTATTAAAAGGAGACAGCGCCTTGTCTGTAAGCTGATCCACACGTAACTAAGAACAGTAGACGAATTGGACGATTCTCTCGAGATCTTTCCGCCTCTGGGGAATACCCCTCTAGCCCTGTAATACTTACTAAGCATGTGGAGCGCCCAAGCTCAAACATCTTCACTATAATTCAAGTGCACCCCTTGCTGGACACTACTGCATCTCTCGTCCCGCACAAGGGAGTCCACCTCCATGATGCTATGCTCGAATCCTTCTCCGAAAAATTCTTGTTCGCCAGCAAATCACAGGCATGCACTGCTTGCCCGCAGGTGAGCCGAAACAGAAGTCCCTAACTCCGATCGCCTCCTCCGCTTGCAATCCATAAATCCACTACGGCTATCTACCAGTAGAAGACTGCGACGATCTCGATAAGCTCGTCACAGATGGTCGTATCCAGCCTCGCGTAATCATCCGATATCGCAAGAGGCAATCGACCTTTCATATTGCTCGATGAGTACCATCTCTCCCTCCAAAACCATAATTCGAATCACAGTGACTCCAAGATTTGGCAAACTTTGGAGAACCGAGGATCTATAATCTACTTAAAATTGCCTCAATGTAAGTGTTTCGTTGCGATCTGTGACGGTTCAGAGTACAAAAATCTAGTCTAAATCGACTCCAACTATATAAAATGAAAGGGATGGCGATCGAGGAGGAATGGCGATTGAGCGCCCTCTCCCCGAAGACCTTTCTGTCACTGCTAAATTCCTCCGGCGTTTGTTCCCAGACCCTTCATAGTGCAGGTTCAATCTCTGATTGCGCGGTTCTTCTCCACCTTTTCCGTTCGATCAATTGGGATTCTACTATTTTTATTCACGAAATGCTCTTACCAAGATGCCATAAGATATTAACAGATCGTGACGAACCATAAAATCCTAAAAATTGTTCTTCTGTCGGGACAGGAGTGAAAGATTCCATGAGTTTTCCTAATTTGATTTTTGTGCGTCATATATTCCAAATAGTTTAGCTTTAAGGTCTCCGTTCACTTTCATTCATAACCCTCTCAACAATCCCAAAAGATACAAACAAATACTTCCGAACGGCGTCTTTTTGAGTTGCAAACATCATCCTTCCACTTGATTATGAATTGATTTCACTTAGATTAAAGTTTAAGATAAATGAAACTTTTTTGTACACAAATTTGAAATCTTTTCTTATCTGATCAAACATTTTCTGGGAAAAAGAATCAATATGACTTTATATATATACTTTAAATATATATGACTTTATATTTCTCATGACTAATTTTTCATACTTACATATTGAATATGTCTACATAAATATTAAACCTAGTAATATCTAAGAAAAAACTTGCAAATTATTGTAACAAGTTTTCTATAATAAATTCAAATATCATATAATAACAATAACCATAAATCAATACAATTAAAATAAAAAAAATTCAAATATAAGTATTCTATAAACAATTGATCATTAGAAGACTCAATAAATCTTCTTCATATCAAGAATCAACTTAGGTCTTTGCTTAGATAGGGTTACCCTAACTCTGGTTTGTTAAATTGATCAGTACTTGATCATACATGAAAGCTGATAGATTTTTTGAATAAATCCTTATGTGTCAAAGGACAAATTCCATAGGGCGACTTTTTAGGAACTTTTTCATGTTTGATTTGCGGAAGCTCCACGGAGTGGAGCTCACCCATCCCAGACCTATTCCGTGCCAAGGGCGCTTAACCGCAGCGTTCTGATCGGATCTGGGATACACCAGTCCTGACGTGATTGATATCACAGTGATAATTCATGCATTTTCTTGTCTATTTTTTATGTGTGTCACTCTCTCGATTGTATTTTGGATTCCCTGTTACAACTAATATCAAAACGATGTCTGAAAATCTAGAAATATAACGAAGTGTAGAGATAAATTTCTAGAGATAAAGATGATAGTCTACTGGAATTGAGTCAAAAAATTTCATTTGAAGAAGTATTGTCTTGTGAAGATTAACGTAGATCATGTTTTAATAGCTGATGTGGTTCAAAAGTTTATTTTCATGAGTACGATTGATTCAACAATGATATTTCATAAGATGAACTATAAATAAGAAGTTTGTCTTTTGCAATTCATCAAAAAACGTTGATGAGGTTTGGATTTTGAATTAAATTTTTTCTTATCATATTTGTTTCATCAAAGTTTTTTTTTTACAATATCAAATGCTTTAATTTTTATGAAAAATTATCAACCTTGTAGAATTGAAAGCATTAGATTTGATAAGGTTTGAATATTTGATGATTCTAAACATACATTGGTTCACATCAAATTCATACATGATTTGAAAGTATTTTTTCTTTCTTAAAATGTTAAATTCAAAAACATCTAATTGAAATTTCTGAAAGGAAGCGCTTGAACTGATATAAATAGTAAAATTATGTTTAGATTACATAAACATAGATATCCATACATGCTAAATAACAATATCATATGCGATGAAATTGATTTTACTAGATTTCAAATTGATTCATGAATAACATTTCATCTTATTACATATAAGATATGATTCTTATTTTTTGAGAACAATGTCTTTTTACTTGGCACAAGTATAATTGACTTACGAGTTTGTGTACATTGTAATATGGGCAAAAAAATTGAACTGTTATTTTAAGTTGAAACTCACAAAGCTAAAAAATAAATTCTGTATGTACATTATCGTGTTTGGAAATCATTTCCAAAAAAATCTCAATTCTTGGAAAAATTTACTATGTATTGTTTATTTCTTCTCTATAATTAATGATAACTCTACATATATATGACTTTGTTTTTCACGCAATTTTTTAAATTTTGTATAAATTTTGAAAAGTTCAAACTGAAACTCATATCGCACAAAGGGAGGAATCTAAGTATATTGGCAAAAAACATTTTTTTTTTGAGAAGTTTAAAAGTTGCTGCAAAGAAGAGTGAATTAGTTTTACTAGTTTACCACAAATTGTGGAAACTACATAACATACTAGTTCAACATGATTTATTATATAAATTGTATACTTAAACTATCAAAATCCAATATATGTGATAAAATATTTATTTTATTGCAATACATTTTTACATTTCATTCAAATTGAGTCACAATTCAATGCCAAGTATAATTTTTTGACATGTTTTGATTGTACAGTTTATATTTTCATAATTGAATATTTTTAGAATCGGATTAAAATAATAATTTTAATTTATTTGGATACACGAAAATTATAAAGATTCATAGATTATGATATATTCTAACATGTAAGATCAAATTAAGTAGGGTTATTTCTTTTGAAATGCCTAGATCATAAAAAAAAAGGTTTTCCCCTACAAATATTAGTACTATACTTATAGTTAAATAATCACATTGATTCAGGAATGCCAAGACATAGAGAAGTAGATTGTTAGGAATTGATTCAAATATTGATTAACTTGGATTATTCACACCTTAATTTTTTAGATTGTTTAATCGGCCGTCACATAAAAGAGCGTAACAAAGCTTCAAAGTAAATTAGTTAAATGATTTCACGATTAGAAAATAAGTTATTTCTATGACCTAGCTTTCAATGATGACTCATGTAATTTATATCTGCTCCTCATGTATATGTCTTTATCTCATGTGAGTTTGATTTTTTTGTCATTCATACGTTGGGTTTCCTTTAAACTATATTCAACACATACATATAGTAAATCAGTTCAAACAAATTGATCACATGACTTACTTAATTTCAATACTAAATTTCAAATCTTGGCATTGTTTCAAAAAATAAAGATTTTATAATATCAATATTTTTAAATCATAATTTTTTTAAGAATATAATTAATTTCAAAAAATAAATGAGAGAGAAAAACATTAAATTATCACATAATTTTAAAATGAAAGTCTTGATTTAATTTAAGATTTTCTTTAAATTACTTAGACATCTTCATTTTAATACTGTATTATTCAAAAATACTAATTTTGCTCATAAAATTTCATGGAATTATACTAGCATGAACAATATATAATGATGATAAATGTGAAAATATGATCACAAGTCTTTTAAACGAAATGTTAAACTTTGTAATAAGTTTGACATTCAAACTTTTATTACTATGAGCATTGATATAAATAAATAAATAAATAAATTTTAATTATGTTTAAAATTAATTTAAAATTCATAATTATGAATTAAGTTAATTTAAAATATATTTTTTTATCACCAAATATTACTTCAAATGAAAATTAAACAATCAAGCTGTGATTCAAAAAGTAATTGTTTAAAACCTTTTTATATGTTGAATTGAAATATGAAATTTTTTTCACAAATATTATAAATTTTATAATAAAAGTAAATTTAAAATTAAATGAGTTTGATGAACACAATTTAGCCTGTCAAAATTTTTATTAAAAAACTATGTCAAAGCCAACATAATTTGAAATTTTTTATTTATATCAAGAAAATTACTTCAAAAAACAATTATGACAAAATTTCTAGATATTTTTCATTATTATTAATATGAAAAATATATTTTATATTTTTACAACGTAATAAATAAAGTCAACATACATTTTTTATACAGATTTGTTTATTTAAAAAAATCAAAAATTATTTTAAAATATTTATTACTCATAAAACATGCATAAAATATGAGTCTATTATTAGTCAATTTTTGAAGAAATCTTAGATATTCATAATTTTTATTACTTGAAAATTTTAATAGTACAATACTATTTATTAAATAGAAATTTTTATTAATAATGTTAAATGTAAAGAGTTGATTCCACTTACCTAGTTTAGAATTTAGGTGAAACTTAAACACCAAAACCTTCTAATACTACCATTGAACACATATATAAAAGAGTGAACTTTTTAAATTTTCCTACACTAAAATTTAATATGTTAACTAGAAGTAGCAATCATAGATGAATCACATACATACAATGTTAGTTGTTTGAGTTGTGACACGCTCACAAATTTTAAGTGCGTCACAACTGCATATGTATGTTATGTAACAATTAATATTAGAGCGATATGATACAAGAGCTAGAGACAAAACACAACTTACAATTGGCACCTATAACAAGTTGCATGCAAAATGAGGAACGGATGAGATTGAATTAGATGTTTTTTTCCTTGGAAGTAACTCTTGAATTAGGCAAAACATGACAAGGCTAATTGACATGTATTTTTTTGATGAATATTTTTGCAATTGCTTTAGGCTTTATTGTCATTGGCTTGCTCGCTTGATGCATAAATGACTTTTGTTCTCATTTTCATCTTAATGTGATGCAAAATAGTTCATTTTTCTTGAATCTGCAGACTAATGTAATAACCACAGTCATTTGATCTATAGTCAGACTAAATATTGTAGTGTTGTGAACGGAAATTTTATGACAAATAAAAAGACTAGATTGGGATGATACTACAAAGGAAGATAAAAATTGATCAAAAGTGAAAAGATGTCTAACACAAGACTTAGAAATAACACTTAAGTGAAAAAACCAAAAGTAAAATTGATAGTTGCAAAAATAAGTACAACAAGTCTTGATGATAATGAAAAACAATGTGTACATACTCTCTATATATACTTCAAGCAAGATTAAAAACTACTAAGACTATATTAGGACTTCAAATCTGAAAAAAATCATCGCCATTGCTATAAGGAAAGAGTCACCACCTCCACAATTGGAAAGAATACTATGAAGTTGAAAAGATGCATCGTCATCGCTACATTGTATATGTCATATGTGATATCAACTCTCTTTTAAGCAATAAGTTCCATGTATTGTTTAATTTATCTTATCAAAAATATAAACTAACAATCTATTACAAATAATATATGATTATCACATATAGACATTGCAACAAATTTATTTTGATCAATATCATATTGGAA